ATTCAGGACATGATGAAAGACATCTGTTTCCAGGCTTTTATGTAAGAGGACTGATGAGCTTCAGAGGAAAGGCTTGTCCAAGTATTTACAAGTTTATCAAACGGTGTCAATGGCTCGCTGACTTCCAGGTGTGTTTACAGTCAATAAAGAGCATTTGAAAATGCTAACAGAAACGACCACGCTCGACTTGGCCAAATTAGAGAAGGGCCGTGACTTGAAAAGCGACAGTGCAGGATTTAAAAAGACAAAGCCCCTTCACAAAACTCTAGTCTCCTGACACTCCTTTTTAGCAGCAATGTGGTACTCACCTTAGCTGCCCGTTCGGTGGACTTGAGCAGAGAAAAATCTCTACCTCACTGATTGTAATGAGGATCAGGTTCTGTATCTACCTTTCAGAAAAGACACATTCTGAGACTTTAATTCAAAATAAATCCATTCTAAACAGTATAACAATTTGAAGCAAATAGATGTTGATAGGCACTTTTCCTGGGAAAAGCCAGAATAGATCAGTGACCTTCAAACTATTTTCTTCTTGCGCCTCTAAAACAAAATATACAAATTTATATACAAATTTCTGTAGAAATTTAAATGAATATTTTTTCCTGCGACCATAATACTCAAGTGTTTCTAAAAATCTGTTTTCTTCTATACTGATATATATTTGGCTGAAATCTACCTAATTATGATATAAATATGTTAAACATTTTGATAATTCTTAAATATAAAAAGTGAAAATGTATTAGAAGTTCCTCTGAGTGAGATGAAAGGGGACTTTTTCAAATAGCTTATGTATTCATTGATGAACATGACATTCGAAGAGCAGAGCAAGGTTCAGGATCAATTCTATTCCTGTTTTCCTATTTTTTTATAAGTATAAACATAAAAAAACTCACTACAAAATAAGCAGATGGGAATGGAAGGATTTTTTTAGAACGATGCTATTCAATTATCTGAAATCTTTATTAGTCATATGTTAAAAATCACATTGTGATCTATTTCCAAAAACTACATTTGGTGGTCTGTAAGCTATCGATCCCATCACATTTCTTCAGTTTTATTGAAAGCAAAGAGTTGGCAACTACCTACTTTTGAAAAGAATCGTAAGCAGTTTTCCGAAAAGGCTTTACCAAGGCTTCGCAAAATACATACCACTAATGACAGTCTCATTCTTTCACATAGCGGTACTTTGTCTGATATGTGCAGAACGGGGTGGTAAATGGAACTGTTGTTCATTTGCATTCACCTTTGTTACAATCTTTTTGAATGCTTTTATCATACATGCTTTCAATCTCTCTATTTAATTGGCTCAATTTATGAGAAACACCCACTATATAATTTACTGGCATGGCTAGTATCATTAAAAATCAAACTTAGACTTTCTGTCAGAAACTTTCTGCCTGACTTATTTCTTCAGTTCAAATAAATTGATATTCATTCCACCCCAACCATCTCAGTTTAGAATTCCTCCGCTAGGTAGGCAGTAAAGAGATGGGCGAAGCCCAAATCCTTGCTAGGAGTTTGACAACTGGATTAAACAAGGCATCACTGCCTTCAGTATCTCTTGCTTTACTGATGTTCTCTTTGCAGTCGGGAAACTCCTCTGCAGGAGAAAGGCATTCAGAGACAATGGTTGGGTGGGTGGTGAGGGAAGGAAATAAAGATGTTCTTCCTCCCTCTTAATACGTCAGATTTAAAAACCCACCAACAGTCTTAAATACTCCATTTCTTTACTTCACCGCACTCTGCCCTTGATAGAGATACATGTAAGACAGGAAAAACACTGAAGCCCTACCTTGGTGTGTGGTGTCTTGACTAAAGGAGGCTTTGATCCCTAAAAATACTTTCACTTTTGCCTCTGACACAGTGGAAACTTTATGCTCTAAGGCAATGTGTCAAAGTAAGATGGATATGTGAGAGGTGTGCCTGTCTGATGTAAAGGAAGTCTTCATATGGAAATGGCTGGGGTTCTGGAAGTCAATCCCCAGAGGACAGCCCATGCCTTCTTCCTCACTGGGGTCTTCACCTTCCTCAGAGGTCTGACTCCTCTTGTTGGAAGACTCCTGGATTAAGTGTCCTCCAGGACATAATCTGGAACTCAGAGTATTCTATCTCTGAGTGTAGGGTTATATTTTTATCTTTTTATTTATATATTCTAATTTTGCCAAAATGAAGATGTATTAATATCATAGGATAAATATTTTAAATTTCAATGAATGATGCACAACTTATAATCCATGAGTTGATATATGAAAAATTGCAGTGATTACTATAACCCAATTTTGAACTTTAATTTTCTAGAGTATTTTACATCAGTAGATTAGTTCAACAAAAACAGACCTGACAGGTGAAGGGCTGTTAGCCACCTGATTATGGACATCAGGGAAAGAGAGGACATGAAGCTGTGAATAATGGCTTTTTATTAAGCTTTCTTATATAGGCTCCCTCCTGCCTCAGACCTGGGTTATTGCAACTATATCCCAACTCCTCTCTTCACTTCCGGGCTTCCCACACTACTGCGTTTTAATGTCCTTGAAACAATGACTTCATTTCACCTTTCACCCGATCAGAACCTTTAATGGGTCTCCATTTAGCTACAGCGGTCCTTTGCACCTGCTGGTGCCTGTGCCGTTCCGGATGCAGGCGTCCCAGTGAAAAACAATTCCAACACTTACTAGTAACGCATTCTCCCTCCGACTTCACACTTCCCTGTAACTGGGATTTGCTGTGAATGACTCTAGACCCTGCTGGCCATAACCTCGGTGTCTGCCAGAAACATCTGTGATCACAAGGCATGTTCCTCTCCAAGCCTGGGTTCTGTTTCTCCTGATCTCTCTCACACACACACGCCCCAAGAAGCAGATAGGTGCCTCTGTGGCACTTGAAGCATCATTTACCCACATCCAACCTATTTCAAGTGCCTATTTTTAAAACATGCCATAGATTATATGCGTAGTGATGTAGTACCATAACATAATGCTTACACATGTATGTCTGTCTCCAGGTGTATCCATGTATACCTCCATTCAGGAAGAGGGGTGGCATCATGCTCTTTGATAGAGCTGAAAATACAAAAATTCGCAAACATGAAGTAGAAAGATCGGACTCTTTAGCCTGGCACTCAGGGGCCTCCATGACCTAATGCCATTTTTCCTTTTCCAATCTTATCTGCCATGACCCCATGGAAGCCCATTGTCTGCCATTCATTTAATACCTACTGAGAGCCAAACGCCGCATGCAGAATACGGCATGTCGTCCTTCCAGTACTCCTGTGATTGCGTTATTACTCGGCCCGTTGTACCGATGAAGTTTAGTATCAGAGGTTCAGTATATTCCTTCAGATCACTCAGCTAGTTAGTGACAGAGTCAGGATTCAGACCCAGAACCAGCCTGTCTCAAAGCCAGTTTTCTTAACTTCTTTTCTAGTCAGATGGCTCTATCTGCTCACCATCACCTTCACACATGTTCAGTTCCTCTGCTGTGGTTTTAATTATGATATTTGCCCCAACTCAGCAACCTTTTCCTACCTGCAAAGTTTAGCTCAGCACTTACCCACCTCTGTGAAATCTTTCCATCTCCAGCCTTCAGTGATAGCACTCCTCTCTGACCTTTAAACCATATGTTGCTGTAATTGTCATTTAATGTATAACTTTGTAGATGTCTTCCCAACCAGGTAGTTAGCTGGAATGGCAGGAGCCATTGAAGCCAGCTCAGATAATCTCCAAGCTGCTATTAAGTTTATACTTCTTCTTATCAAACACTGAAAAATGAACTCAGTGTTAAATTACCAACCTTTCCTAGACAGAAGACTCCTTCCTCTGTCATTTGTAGTTCACAGCTCTCTGAGCTGAAACTAAGTCCTCCAAATTTTGAATTAAGTTCTTCTCTGGAGGCTGTTGTACAATAAATACTATATAACGTTATATAACATCTGAATTAATGTTCAGATCAATGTTTGGTAAGAAGACAAAATCAGTAGTAAGTGAATTTCGTGATTTTCAAAAGATTGAGTTGGTAAGAGGATAATTTGCCCATTTTCATTCTGTTCCTTCGCCTTCATGGACCCTTTCCATGAAATAGCACACAATGTGGTTTTGTGTCCATTTAAGGCAAACTGTAAAACCTTCTCACTCACGAACCCCCTCGGAATGAGAACGAACCTTAACAAAGAGGGAAGGAGGGGAACACATACCAAAAAAGAGGACTCTTGGATCTGTTCCCTAAAACCTGGCCACGAAGTAAGGAAGGCGGTGGACTCTAAGAGGGAGCGGAGACATTTTGTTCTCAACATGTTGAAGGTCACCGAGAGGGGTAATACAAGTATGCGTAAGGCTTACGGTGAACCTGAGATAAGCATCAAAAGAAAGAGGTGAAGTTGCGGCAGCTTACCTTAAAGCTTTGTGAGAATTTAAACTTGCCCCTCCTTGCCTTCCCCTCGTAATGTCCCCACCGCCCCCTCTCCACCACCCTCCAGCATCTGGCTTTCCATCCATTCTCTACCGTTTGGGGGGAACTGCATGAATCAGTGCCACTGATTGTTTTTGTTGTTTACTTAAGGATTGATTTAGTAATCTCCACAATCCGTTCTGCCTTAATTTACACTTTGCAGGGTTATGGTATATTGAGAATGACTGATAAGTACCAGCCTTAATCTCTCCCAAGAAATAACAACACATACAATTTGTAAGATAATTATGTTTCAGGCGATCAAGAAAGACTGCAGGTGTGAAACAGTTTCAGCAATAAGCATACCTTGGGGGGAAGTAAAACGATTTTGACTTAAATATCTTAAAGGATGGGCTAAATCAGAATTAGTTGAACAGTATCTAACTAAAAAAAAAAAACCCTTTTAAAGGAAAATTAGAAATAAATAAGAGCATTTTGTTTATTAGAAGAAGGTGAAATTTCTGAGCATTTAAGCAAAAAGAACTTTTCAGTAGTCAGAAAGCTGTTTGGTTTCTTTTTGATGTTTTGTTCTTTTTCAATGGCTCTCTTACATACAGGAAGATTCGGTGGATTTACACAAGAAAATAACACCATAGATTCTGGAGAACTTGATATTGGCCGAAGAGCAATTCAAGAGGTTCCTCCCGGGATCTTCTGGAGATCACAGCTCTTTATTGACCAGCCACAGTTTCTTAAATTCAATATCTCTCTTCAGAAGGATGCATTGATTGGAGTGTATGGCCGAAAAGGCTTACCACCCTCCCATACCCAGGTAGGCTCTGTTACCAATACAATGAAATCTGCTAGTTTGCATTTTTCAAGTCATTCTGTTTCTTAAGTTCAGCTGTTTAACTGTTTGACCACTTTTGTATTGATCTCTTACAGTGAAAAGAATTTTGAATGTACTTTACCTTGAGGTTTTTAATTTAGTAGGAAGAACTGCATTTTCTTCCTGATTTGCTTTAATCTTTATTGATTGATGAAAATGTGCAAAATTTGAGAGTAACCTAATGAATATTGAACATCATCTGAGTACATGGTGAAACATCATGGGCTTTCCAAGTGTTTTATAAGGATTCTATGATAATTTCCAAAGAGCATCCTCCTTTCTTGTAATAGACGTATAACATTTTCATCTCAGAAGTACTCATTCTGTTGAAAATGTATCGTATACTTTTTACTTTATGTCAGATTTACTCTTTGTAAAGAAATGATGGGAACATACACATATGTATGATGGTATGAACTTTATCAACTCAAGCCATGACTCCTCGTCTGCATTTGATGGTCACTGAAATTCAGGGGTAGAAGAGCTCTCACAGATAACCAAGGATGATCACGTTAGTGCGGGACTCAGAACAATTCAAATATCCCGATTTCATTGATTCAGAGAGCTTTGAAGTCAGTTTGCTTTCATGAAAATCACCTCACAGCTGTCGCAGACTGATAATCCCACTGACTTTTTCAGAATATGATACTGGCTCATGGCGTGTACATTAGAAATTGTGGTTTAAAGAGGTCCCATTATGTCTCAGAGAAACTATTTAAATTACCTGCCACAAAATTGGAGCCCAGACTTTTCCCCAAAACAAGAATTCCAAAAAAATGTAATAGATGGTTAATTTAAACGGTCAGTTAGATGAGTTTAAAGTTATGCTTGAAGATCAGTTTATTTACCCATGGAATTTCATGCTGATTTTAATTTGACTTATAAAATGAGGACCTGAGGAGTTTCCTGTTTGCTTTATATTATGTAATTTTGTGAGAAATGTGTTTCCTATAACCTCAGAATATAAAGTATAAAGAAAAATTGACCTATACACTAATAAAAAAAAACTTCTTAAAAAGATGAGTAAGGAAATTTGAACATGCTTTCTCTCATGTCATGAATCAGGACAGTTTCATCCACGTATGTGAATTTTACAGCTAGCTGTGAATTTTTTGAATGTTATGCTTTAGTGTATTTATTTTTCTGACTTAATACTTTTCATATCTACCTTATTAAAGTAATCCCTTTAATCCTGACATATCAAATACCTCTAATTGTGTACTGCTAATGTCCAATTTTAAATTTTAGATTATGATGGGATTTAACTGTAGTTCGTGTTATAGGTGACTAAGATGTAATAAGCAGGTTTTCTTAACTAGGAGCAGCCCTGTATGACTTCAGTTTTAGCAGACGGATCCCATTTAGTAGAGAGAGCAATGGTCCAGCGAAATAGAAAAGTTATTTTTCCATTGGAATCACATGCATGATTAAATTATTTTTGTACAACTCAAGAAACAGACCTTTGACTAAGTACAACAGCAAGCATGTAACCTATAAATTTGAAAAAATAATTTCAGAAAAAATTAGCTAAGACATGGGGCTTTATTAAGGTTTATTTAAAGATGTAGGGTTGACTTTTTGCAAGCTATCTATACCACGTAAGGCTAGGGAAATAAAAGGTGTAGTTTCAGGTTTTCTCATAATTCTTCTGGTATTTAAACACAATGTACGTGATATCCACTTTTCTTTTCTACCACAATATATGTGTTTAAGCAGGTTATGCCTTTTCTTAAGCTCCACAGTTATTAGAGTTCCTTCCTCTGGTTTATTCAGGATCAGCAGAGCAAACAGCTGTTTCTGAGTTCAGTGTTTAAACATGAAATATGCTATAAAGCAGCCCAAATTGAACATTTCTCTGTTTCTGGGGAACGTTAAATAAATCAACCTGAAATAATTAAAATTGTCCAACCATTCAGAATACTCGCTTGAGTTTTGAAAGTCTTTGTGACCCTTTATAAAACTGTCCGTATGACTGTTGCCAAGGAATCAATCGGCTTTCTTCTCCCTCATGCCCAATTCATTCTCCTGGACAGTTAGAAGCCTAAGGAAGCAATTTACTGCTTTACAGTCAGTAGTGTACTGTATCGTTTACGTACATCTGCATGAAGGCTATTGTCGATTGGGAGTTGGAAACCTGGGTTCTGAGCATACGCCCCTGCCACTCTTTGACCTTGTGACCTTGAACAAATCACTTAACTTCTCTGTGCCTCAGTGTCTATCTGTAAAGTGAGAGAGTTGGAACAGGTGATCTCTAAAATTGCTTCTTCCTCTGTGTCGGTGATTTACAGCAAGGCTGTCTGTACCGCCACCAAAAAGTCAACTTATGAGAGCTGTTAAGTATTCCTAGATTCTGAGTGCTCATCATTTTAATAACTGAATGGAGCTAAGCTTATGGGTAGTCTGTTTAGAAAGGAACCACCAAGATACCTTTATCAAGTGTAAGCTTGTCTCTTGATTGCTCCCCCAAGGTGGTGAGAATGAATTTTGTCATAAGTATCACATAAGATTCTAAGACTTGTCTGTGCAAAAAAACTGTATCTCCATCTCATGAATACATATTACAAAGCTACACTGGTGTTTGTCCATAAGTGATTACACCCTAAGAACAAAGGTTATTAAACTTCTATTCCATGTAATTTGTTTCCTTTTCACAGAGATGGCCTTAGCGTTAAATAAGGAATTTATCTATGGGAATTTGAATGACCCTCCAGAGGTCATGTGTGAAATGCCCCCACAAGGGAGTCTGAAACTGGGTAGATACTCACAACCATCAGTTATTCCCCACCACCAACATCCTGTCCACCACTCCAGCCTTATTTTATTGTTCTCGGTGTGATGCAAATGGTGATTCTGTGATAAAAAGTGACCATTAATAGGGCTTGAAAGACCTATTAAAATTCAAATTTTCCCCCCTTTCACTTTTCCAGTTACTGTTTATGTAAGGGGAGAAAAATGTTTATATGCAATGGGACCATTAAAAAAAAAACTCCTTTTGTCTTGTCTTTTTGCCATGCTAATGCAAATATTTAAATCTGATAAGAAAATGGATGGTTTCTTTGAGATAGAGGCACCTTTCAAAAGTGCTGAATTAATTTCCTCTGATAGTTGTGGAATACAATTCCAGTGAAATGTTCGCAGTTCACATCTCCACACCCACCATTATGTTCATCCCGTGAGAGATAAATGAAAAAAACTGTTCGAATGTTAATCACTTTATACATTTTTTGTGTAATTCTCACAGCTGAGTGATGTTACAGTGCCGTTTGACTACACCAAGGAAAACAAAAAATGCTTTCATGCTTTAACAAAAAATTTAACATGTCAGAAACTGAAATTAGATATTCTAAATTCTATCCAACAGTAACAGTTAGAGGTCTGTCTATGTACAGGGGCAAAATTCTCAGAATCCCAACAATTGATTTTTTTTCCAATTTGATTGTATTAAGGGATTCATTATAAACAACTTTTCCTTAATAGACATCTGATGAAATTCCATTTAAGCAATCTATCAGAAAGCAGAATATTGAGACTCACATGCGGAGCACTGTAACGTGAATGAGGTTTACATAGATGGCGCTGTAGTGTACTTTCCACCACAAACACATACCTCAGGAACAAAATGAAACTGCTGACAGTCTACAGAAACTGAATCACTCTGCTTTTAAGAAACTGTTACCTAACAAGTTTATTAAAACTATGTTGGAAAGTCTTTGCAGTGTCTTCCACATTAACTGAATTATCTCTAGGTACAAAATGTACCCCGCTGTTGCAAATCACATTCCATATTTTTAATTATCTTTACATTCTCCAGTTAAATTCTTCCAGCTACCTAATGTTCCTGATGACTCTTGCTAAAACAAGAATTAAGTTGAATCATGATTGACTTCATGACAATAATGAGGCCATCCCTTCAGAACCCCTTCATTGTTTAATTTTTCAGACTTTTGATCAAAGATGTAAAGGCATCTTGTTATATGTTTTTAATCTAACCGTGACTAAGTAAAAATCCATGGCTTTCTCCATGGTGCCTGGGATGGTTACATCAGGGTCACAGAGAGGGTAGCGTGGTGTAGTGGGGACAGCCCCAGCTTTGGAGCAAAGCGCGCTGGCGATCACACACCAGCTCCACCATTGACCGGGTATCTGACCCTGCTCGAGCTCTCAAGTTTCAGTTTCAGTTGTAGCCCCAAACTGCCTACAGTCACAAGCTTTTTATCAGTTGGAAGAATTAAATAGTTTTGGGAACCATATTATGCAGCCAGGGAAGAAATGGCCTCTGAAGTTTAGATGCAGCAATGGGGTGCAAGGTAACCTTCATCCTCCCCAGAAATGGAATGCCTAGAAGACCTGTCATCAGTCAGGAACTTCTTTCTGACACTGTCTTGATTAGAGCAAAGGAGACAGATTTGAGAAGGAAAGAGAGAAGCAGCCACAACGGTCCAAAGTCCAATTACTGAACGTTTTCACTTGTCCCCATCTTCAGTACGACTTTGTGGAGCTCCTGGACGGCAGCAGGCTGATTGCGAGAGAGCAGCGGAACCTGGTTGAGTCGGAGCGAGCCGGGCGGCAGGCCAGGTCTGTCAGTCTCCACGAGGCCGGCTTCATCCAGTACTTGGATTCGGGAATCTGGCATCTGGCTTTTTATAACGACGGGAAGACTGCGGAGCAGGTGTCATTCAATACTATCGTTATAGGTAAGGATGGTCCTCAGAGCATCGTTTTCCCAGGCTTCCAGCCTGAACACGGTCTTGGATAGAAACTAAACTGTCTTCATGAATTTTGAGTGATGCCTAGGATGTCAAAGCCTGTGGTAAATGGGAGAAATATTTTTTAATTGTATATTTACGAAGGTGTGATAAAGCACGAAGCACTGGGGAAAATACTATTTGAAAGTAGCTTGGAGGAGGACGGTGCATCATGAAAACATTTAAAAACATCTGCATTTGCAATGGCAGTGTTTTGCTTTAACTATTTGAATAATCTGGCATAAACGAATCTTCTGTTGTTGTTATGGAGCAAGCTATCCATACTTCCTTCAAGATGTGGCTAAAGTGATAAGTGACACCGTCTACCTTGTGTGAGAGGCAGGCTGCGCATACAGCGAGGATCGCTGCTTTTTCTTTCCTTCAGAGTCTGTGGTGGAATGCCCCCGAAATTGCCATGGAAATGGGGAGTGTGTTTCTGGAACTTGCCATTGTTTTCCAGGATTTCTAGGTCCGGACTGTTCAAGAGGTATGCCAGTCACGTTCTTTCCTTAAGCCAACATCAATAAGCTGTAGAAACACGAGTAATTCCGAAAACTACCAAGACAGGAAAGAAATGGGGGGTGGGGTGGGGGGGGGAGATGGCATGCTGCGTGTTCCAGCGATGTGCCTTTTCTGTGAGACTCTCGAGGGAAGATGTGGCTGTTCATGCTTCTGTCGCGTCTCATTTCACAGCAGCCTGTCCAGTGCTGTGCAGCGGCAACGGGCAGTACTCCAGGGGTCGCTGCCT